GGTTCTAGGAAGTCAGGCTGAGAAGCCTGTAAATACATCTGCCTGTTGAGGGACAGAGTCCTTCTTCACAAAGTACTGGAGCTCAGGATCCCGTGCAAAAAACTGGAATTTCAGTTGAACTTCGAAGGGCCAATAAAAGTTGCAGAAGTCAGACAACTACTTTGGCAAAAAAATGACTAGCACCAGAACAGAAAGGGCGACAGAGAGATCGAGGGATGATATGCCAGAGGTTAAGGGCTGGGTAGCTGAAGGGATGGCTGCCAATAGCAGAGCAAAGGGAATGAGGGATGCACAAGAGGCCAGAATAGGAGCAGTGCAGAAACAGAGAGCCAAGACTGTGTAGGGATCTGGAAATAAGTTTGACCATTTTGAAGCTAGAATCATAAAATAGAATCTCTAGTGTGTGGAAGCAGGCCATTCAGCCCATCAAGTCCAGACCGACCCTCTGAAGAGCATCCCACCCAATCCCTGTAACCCTGCATTTCCTCCTGATCCACCTGGGCTGTGGGAGGAAACCGGAGCACCTGGAGCAAACCCATGCAGACACGGGGAGAATGTCTGTGTGGAGTTTGCACAGTCACCCGAGGCTGGACTCGAACCCGAGTCCCTGGCGCTGAGAGGCAGCAGTGCTAACCACTGAGCCACTGTGCTGCCCAGATCTGACACTACAGTGTGGGGCTGTGGATAAGATATTGAACATCAAGCAGAGACAAGACTGCCATCAGATAATCTGAGAAATATGATACACCAACACATTATCATCAGTACCATCAATGGATATGGAGCAGGGATGGTGGGTGGGCGGTCAAAAAGCTCAGCTTAGGAGCAGAGATAGTAGGAACTGCAGATGCTGGAGAATCTGAGATAACAAGGTGTAGAGCTAGATGAACACAGCAGGCCAAGCAGCATCAGAGGAGCAGGAAGGCTGACGTTTCAGGCCTGGACCCTTCTTCAGAAAGCCCCCAGCTCAGGAGCAATTTGATGTAGTGCTCATCGCCCATATTTTTCCTCTAACTGGACACTTTTTCTAATCAAATAACCATCTGATTCAATCTTGAATGTCTCAATTGAACCTGCCTCCACCACACTTCCAGGCAGTGCATTCTTGATCCTAACTAGTTGTATGAAAGCATTTTTTCTCTCACATCACATTTTGCTTCTTTTGCAAATCAGCTGTGACCTTCTCACTCAATCTTTTTTGTAAGTGGGATCAGTTTCTACTTTGTCCTGTACTGAACACCAGGAGATACTGCAAAGTACGATGCAAATGTTGGAATCCTATTCACAACTGAGATAATTCCCAGCCTCAAAAGACTCAGGACTCTACCTGTTCCTACAGAGAAGAAAGTAGCATCAACATGACTGAGGAATCTGGGCACCACTAATTTCCATCTGCCAAGGTTGTGCAACCAACCAGCTGGTCAGTTCAGGAAGTCTGTAACTGGAAATGTTGCAAAAAGCCTCGATTTCAAACTGCAGTGATGCAACATAAGGAAGGTGATTGTGAACATGAACCTGTAGAGCTGGTTGGGAGACATGACACTGCATACATCTTGTACACAAGGTGGCAAAATGACACAGGAAGGGTGGGACACCAGCAAACTGCCATTTACCGCAAACGGGATGAAGTGGAGACACAGTGGCAGGGCTAAATTGAGCAACAAGTTTTGTGCATTACAAAAATATACGTTCACTTTCTCAAGTTCTGAAGGTGTGCAAACTGTTTAGTTGCCTCAACATTTCCATACTGGTGTTACACGGGCCACATCAGCCTCCCATTGTCCTTCTTCATCCAACATCAACATACCTTTACATTCCTCTCTCCCTCACAGGTTTGTCACACTTTTCCTTGAAATTATCAAGTGTCTGGAAACTCTGATACAGAAAGTTGAACAACATCTGGAGAGCAAAGCCAATCTAGCACCATCCTGGCCTTGCTGCCTCACACACTGGAGTTTTGAGGCTAGTCAGTCTCATGCGTTGAGGGACTATTAAAGCTTAGGGCTTAGTTTCACCTTTTCCAACTCCAGTGAGTGAGAAGATACTGAAGTTAGTTTGGCTGGACGGCTGGTTTGTGATATTAATACCAACAGAGTGGGTTCAATTCCCTCAATTGAAGTTACCATGAAGGACTCTACTTCGCAACATCTTACTTTGCCTGAGGTGTAGTGACTCTCAAATTAAACCACCTCCACCAGTCATCTCTCTCTAAAGAGAGAATAGTCCCCCAGGATTTATGTACTTATCCAATACCAGATTCAGCAGTTTCCTTTTCCATCTCCCCTCATCCTCCTCAAAGGCACAGCATCTTTCTTTGTTCCTTTTGGATCTTTCTTTTTTGACAGTGCTAAACAACTTTCTCACGTCATTACTCCAATGGTGGCACCTCCTGGATACCAAACACTCTCTTAGATTCCTTTGCCTTGACTGTTCTCGAGTTTGGGCCGTGAGAGGGAAATTGTTTTTAAAAACACAGCAAGTTACCGTCTTTAATACTCTGCCTGAAACGGCAGTTGAAGCGGATACAAAGCAACGTTCAAAAAGGGAGCTGGTTCTACCCTTGAGCTTGATGCTGGGGAGGGGAAATGGGACTATGATGGGACAGGACATTCACAGGGATGGTGACAGTGAGGTGTCCGGTACTGTTCCATGAATATGATTATATCAGGCTGTTACACGACTAGTCCAAGAGACAGCTTTCCCAATTTTCAGAGAGCTCGGAATCAGAAAACACTGGAACCGCACAGATCAATGTGCAATTTAAAAAAAAAATGCTTTTCAACTTACATGGGGAGTGGTTCTGGTGAGAGATCTAACCACGAACAGCAAATTCTTCTCAGATGCACTTGCAGCCTTCTGTTCGGATTTCCCAACGGTCAGGATGGAGTAACCCACTTTTGGGAAACATCTTCAATCTACCTGTACACCTGCTGCGCACTGCACTTTGGAATGGGTTTAAGACTCCAGCTCACTCCCTTCCCTTGTTGCCTCAGGGTGGATTGCCTCCTTAAAGTTAGTTTGTAACCCTCATCAGCCTACCCAGTCAAACAGACCTTCCTTACACATACTGGAGATGCAAATTATTATTATAGAACAAAGCCATTTGGCCCATATGACAGTACACGTGAACAACAGGGACATAAAATAAACCCAGATCAGTCAAAACTTCAACAACGTTTGTACTTGGCTCACTGTCTCTTAATATTTGCTCATAGCTTTTTCCAGATCTATGGTGGGGAGGCGATGGCCTAGTGGTATTATCGCTGGACTGTTAAATCCAGAGACCTGGACAATGTTCTGGAAAACTGGGCATCGAATCCCGCCACGGCAGATAGTGGAATTTGAATTCTAATTTTAAAAAAAATCTGGAATTAAAGAGTCTAATGATGTCCATGAATCCATTGCCGATTGTCAGAAAAATCCATCTGGTTCACTAATGTCCTTTAGGGAAGGAAGCTGCCATCCTTACCTGGTCTGGCCTACATGGGACTCCAGACCCACAGCAATGTGGTTGACTCTGAACTGCCCTCTGGGCAATTAGGGATGGGCAATAAATGCTGCCTGGCCAGCAACACCCTCATCCTGTGAATGAATAAAGAGAAAACAAGGGAGAATACAAACAGGCAGACACACACATTCTCCCTTAAAAGAACTGCAGTAACTGCTATTCTTTCAGGCTTTGTGCTGATGGAGTTACTCAGATCTTAAGAAAGAATACACATTTTGTCTTAAGATCCTCAGCCTTCGTTCATCAGGACAATTTGTAAGAAATACCAATGTAAAGGAAAAGCAACGTTTTTACTGAACGAGGGGAAGAGTGCTGATTGGCAATGTCTCTGTCAAGGAAAATCTATTGCTGTCCAATGAGCACTCTCTTGTCATGCAGGATGGTCTCCCCTTTATGTCAGAATTGTCCCAATGAGTGCAAACTGAACTGCTTCAACAAAAACGATCGTTTGCTCAGCGCCGTGTGCTCAGGGGCAACTTCGTATTCAAAATATGCAAACTTTGTCCGAATGACTTCAATGGTTTTCCCACAAAAAAAGAAAAGCAATTGTGTTTATTCAAAAGGATAACAGTTTCCACCAAGCTGTCAGAGAGCTTGGATTGGGGGAAGGTTCTCCAGTACTTCCAACAGGCCACCTTGGTATTTATTTCCATGGCTCGAAAGATTGAGAGTCAAGTTGATCATCCGAAGAACATCCTCTGGCCATGCATTCTGCCGACACCACAAACCCCTCTCCCACTCAATTAGAAAGAATTATCTTCCATTTTTATATTTTTTTTTTTTTACATACAGCTCATCAAAAATAAATAAACTTTCCAAGAGGTGGCCATGGGAATGCTTCCAAAAAGATCTTGAGGCCTGAAGTGGATCTCAACCCACTTTTGTTCAAATATTTTGGAAGAACATTGACACAGGAGTCAACAAAACTGTCACATTTTTACAAAAAAAAGTAAAACCATAACTTTTGTCACTGCAAAAAAGAAAAGTTAGCTTACTGAAAGCTAAGGTCCCAGATTCAATATTTGCTACGAAGGCTGTGAGAAAGCCAATGGAACATATAAACAGTGCTTTCCAGGTAAAGTTATGCCATCCTGACAGCGAGAATGTGGTATGACTGCTTTCTGTTTAAATGCAAATTCAGGCAGCAGGGTGAAGAGGGAAAAGGCTTGGAGAAATGGGTTCAGGTTGTTCGCACATTGAACTAGACTTAGTCAGCATGAACCCTGTGAGGGGTGAATGTGGGGGGGGGCAAACGAAGGAGGAGGGTGGGGGGGAGGGGGGTAAGGGAGGGGGCGAGAGAGAGGGGGGGGGGGG